TAGATTTGTGGATAACTACTAAAATAAAATTATGGGTGTGGAATAGATAACCACTAAAAACTAAAGGATTTGTTAGGTGTGGATTTAAAGGTCTACTGAAATAATGTGGTCCTATAGGTTCAAAAAAACCATATAATTTGTCAGTTTTAAAATGAGATATCTATAATACTATTGTCAATTGTTCATCATTCATAAGTTGATTGGGTTACAGGAGGATAATAGCACCAAAAAAAAAAAACTTTAAAGGTTAGAGTTGCTGCCTTTCCATAGAATGCGTATAGCATATTGATAGATCATGTGGTAAATTCAAAAGGCACATAGATATATATGAGAAAGTTGTTATTGCTTATTTTATTCTAACTTGCTACGCACATAATCCAATTAGTTATATATTAAGCGAAAATGAAACCCTTGCTATTCTTGTGCCACGTCTTTTTTTTTTCATAATTGCCTTCTCTCTATTCTCATTACTCTTTTCCAACACCAAATATCTCCCTCTCCTCTTTTCCAACTCCATATTTCTCTCTCCCTCTGTCTTTTCCTTAAATCTCTCCCCAAAATCAAATCTTTCTCTTTTTTCCCTTAAATTCCTCCACCCCCTATATATATTTCTCTCCCATTTTCTCTCCCTTTCTTTCACGTCATATTTCTCTCTCTCTCTCTCTTTGGCAACCTCCTTAAATTCTAGGAAGTCTGGGAACCTATGTTTGATTGATCATGGGAATTGGAAAACTAGGAGACCGGGAATGAGCCAGTTCTAACCATTCAAGTAGATTTTCTTTTTTTTTTTTAAATAGGTCAAAAAACCCCAAAAAAAATTTAAAAAATAGAAAAACTTAGATTAAGTGTATTCTATCATGTTACATACATTTATCTTACAAAAAAAAATGTAGAATTAAGATGAAAAAAAAATTAACCTGTTTTGCCACAGAAATTGTGCCTTTTGTAGACATGCAACTTAAAATGTAGAATTAAGATGAAAAAAAATTATACAAGATTGTAACTTTAATATGAAATACATATTTTTATTAAAAAATTATATAATATTAAAAACAATCCACACAAGCTCACCAAAAATATATAACATTGAAAAGAAAGAATATATATATTTTCCTCATATTCATCACAAAAAACATATTTTTATAAAAAAATATATAACATTAAAAACAATCCAACAAGCTCACCAAAAATATATAGCATTAAAAAGAAAGAATATAATTTTTTTCTCCTATTCTATTCATCACAAAACACATATTTTTATATAAAAATATATAACATTAAAAACAATCCAACTAGCTCACCAAAAATATATAACATTAAGACTTTTTTTTCTTATATTGATCACAAATAACGTATTTTTATAAAAAAAAATATATAACATTAAAAAAATTCAACAAGCTCACCAAAAATATATAAAATTTAAAAAACATAATTTTTATTGAAAAACAATTTTTTAATAAACCCTAAAATCGAGACAAAACCATCAAGATGGGGTATTTTTAAAATGGGAAAATATAAAATATGGGGTATTTTGAAATGCATGCATTGATTTTAATGAATTGATTTGTGCTTAAGAGTATTTTTAAAAATTTTCTGAAAAAAAATGGAAAAATATAAAAATATCATTGATTACTTTTTTTTTTAATCTTTACCATAATGTAAAAGGATTAAGGAGAAAATATCTCCATAAACCCCACTTTCAACTTTCATTTCTCTAATGACCTAAAGTTACAAAACGTACCTTATTACATAAAAATTCACACTACTATATCTCTTAACCCCTTAAACATATTTTATTCATTTTTTATTAATTATTTTGACCCAAACAAATTTAAAAAGGACATTGTTTCTAAACTCCTCTCTCTCTTGATATGATTCCCTTTCTCTCTCCCCCAATCAACCTCACAAACCCATCTCTCTCTCTATCTCCCCCAACTCTTTAGAGTCAGGGAGGCCATGGGAAAGCTCAAACTTTGAGGTTTCAAAGGTAGCCGAGGCTCAATGGACATAATGGTCGGAACTGTGTTTCTTCGGCGAAATGACGGGGGATCCATTTTTATGGCCACGATTTTGGCCGAAATCTTGACCGGAATGTGCAGGGAATTGGAGTAGCAAAGGAATTAGGGTTTGATGATAGTAACTTTGGCACATATTTAAAGATAGATTGGACAGAACTACGAGTTGGTGCTTGATGGCAAGAAAATGGCCGAAGATTGCAGGAAGAAAGAGAAAATGCATATAACACTGATTGTGGTTTTATTGCCTGAACTTTTGGGTTTCACATACTGAATTCAACCCCAATTTACAGGAATAATAGAGAAAATGAGTGTAATGGCCACAATTACCTCTCTCATACCCTACGGTTTTCCAGGCTTCTGGGGGAATTAGGAATTCTTCTATTCTAAAAGTCAGTCAAATTCTATTTTTTAATGATCTGGTACACCGACAAAGATTCTTCGGCAGCTTCACTGCTCGATGGGAAACATCACCGAACCCTGGAAATACCTCGGCATCCCTATCTATCTTTCAGAAAGCTATCCGCAAAAGAGAATGGTTGATCCTACTAGAGACCAAACCAAAAAAAAATCGCATACTAGAGCAACTCATGCTTGAGCTTTACTAGTCGTCTAGTCCTCATAAAACATGTCAAGCAGGCATATGCATGTTACATGGCGACCATTCTCAAAGTCCCTGTGGGTACCATGAAATCGGAGTCTTTCGCCGGAATTTGATCGTCTTTTTGGGCTCAAAGTTTGTTCGCTCTGCTTGTTTTGCCGTGACAACGCCATTGACACCGGAAAAGAAACCCCATCTCTTTTCTCAAACACATTTCCGGGCGATCTCGATGCACTCATATTTGGGAAAGGAGATTCCCGGGAAAGGAGATCAGCGGGACCTCGTCGTAAAAGGTGGCCCATTTTCTCTACAATCTTCAGGATTCCACCATTGTTGACCTGGAAAGAAATGGGTTGTAGAAAGAGAGAGGAACAAAGTCTAGAGAGAGAAACGTGAGGAGAGATTGAAACACGTGAGGAGAGAGAGTTAGACAAGGAGGTCTTTTTTAAATTGGTTGAGTTAAAAGTTGGTATAAAAATAGATAAAGTTATTTGGGGGTTAGAAGATAGATTCTGAAATTTGGGTTTAAAAAGAAATGATGGTTGAAAATGGAGTCCATGGAAATATTTTATTAGTGTTAGAAAAATCGATTTGACCAACTCTTTTTTTTAAAAGAAAAAGAAATTAAGTTATATATAACACAGACCCTTTTTTTTGTCAACTAAGTAGTAAATGGTGTATTGGTTAGTGGGTCTAATAGAGGATTTGTTTCAAGTTCGATCCGGTGGGCAGTAATTTTTTTGAATAAAATACAAAAAAAAGTAACAATAACTTAGCTTAAAAGAACGCAAGGAGCAAGATTCGAACCCTCAAAGATAACCAATAAATTATCTTAATATATGTGATGTAAATTCGAAGTAGTATCATATCTTAAGTTTAAAAATATCAGTTGATCACTAAAACCGCTCAAAATTGAAACCGGCCACGATCTAACGGGATGGTTACTGGTTAGATCGACCGGTTTTACAAATACTGATCATGGCTCTAATAAAACGAGATAACTCCTTACTTCACTCTCTTGTTCTGTCTAAGAAGCACCACAATAGTGCTTTCGGCATATCACGCTTTGTTGCTTTCGGTATATCACAACACCGTTGGTACCGTGATTCGTCACCAGCAGTGTTGTGATTCTTCTTAATGTACCATGGTACCTGCTGGATTTCCATGAAGCACCATGCATGGTGGCGGTGCTTCTTTGAGGTGAGAGGGAGCAAGAAGGCGTGGAGTGAAGTACAAAGTATTGCGCTTCTGATAGAACCATAATACATTAAACGTATTATGGAAAGAAAAGAAATAAAAAGTTCGAGAGAATCAAAATGATCGAAGTTTTAGAAAAGGGTGTATAGAGCCTAGGCTCTAAACAATTAAATTAGAGTCTACTTTCAAATAGTATCGAGATATGGTTTTAATATTGAAAATTATTATAATAACTTTAAATATATTTTTATTTTTATTTATAAAGTTTAAATCTTCAAAAATAGTGTAGATTGATAGATTTATGAAAATTTGAAAATCTTAAAAACTAACTGTCCGAAAATGCGTTACAAAATACACTATTTCCAAAACTTGAAATTCATTTTTTTTCTCATGTCCATGCATCTTGATATTAAGATGATCAATTTGATGATATTTGAGCATCAAAACAACCTCATCTAATGAAATTTTTGAGGTAGATTATAATTTGATGGTTTAGAACGTCGACTATATATAAACTTTTCCTTTTAAAAAAAGGACAAGGTTTTGGTGGGTAAGACAACTCACCTATTGCTGTGCGGTCCTTGATTATGAAACGTCGGTCTATGTCAAAATGTTTCATCCACTAAAACTTAAAATGAATGGCTTAAAAAACACAATATTTATATTTCTTTAAAAAGAAAAATTTGAAATTTAGATGATTGAGATTATCGAACCCTACAATTTTGGATCGAAAATACATTTTTGAGTTATATTTCGAAGGGACACCGCACAAGAATAAGTGAGTCTATTCACCAAATACTTTTCTAAGAAATTAAGGTATTTTTCAAATTCTTTAGAAAAGTAAAAAAATATTTAGTATAAGAAAAAAGTTTTTAGAAGGATAAAGTCTTAAACAATCAAATTAAGACGCACTTCAAAATTCAGTAAAGGTAAAAGTAATTGTTTTGACACCCAAAAATTCTCAAATCGATCGTATTGACTTCAAGATATAATTTTTGCGATTTTTCAAGTGCTAATAGGTAATGTTTGATCTATACTATTTTTTAAACTTTATATTTTATAATTAAATATAAAAATAAATTTCTAGGCATCACAAAGATTTCCAGTACTAAACAACATCTTTGGACCCTTACTTTGATCGTTTAGAGCCTCAGCCTTACACGAACCACACCAGTGTGAAAATTACCCTTAAAAAAATCAGCCGTTAGGGTTATGAGTAAATGACCTTTAAAATGGCAATGGAAGGAAGGAGAGCACTTCCAGTACTACAACCTTCGTTCTGGGGCTACACTCTCACTGCTTCTTCTCCTCTTCATTGTTCGTTGCATGAATTGTTTGTTATAAATAAACAGTCTGTGATTTATAGACGAATGCCCTTTGTTGGATGATGGGTCAAATTGGAGCCGCCATTGATCTAGGAGGCCGAGGAGTTTTGCCGTATTCCTCGTCCCATCATCAGAGAGCAAGGGCTTCTGCATCATCATCATCATCAATGGCGGCAATGCCATTAAAACAAGCTTCTGATGAGGTTAAGATCACTGGGGATTCGTTTATACGCCAACATTTGAGGAAATTATCTCCTTATCAACCCATTCTTCCCTTTGAGGTTGGTCCAGTGTTTGAATTTGAGTTTCATGTTTTTGAATTTGTTCGAAACTGCCTCCATGCTTGAAATTTCTGAATTTCGTGTTGAGGTTTTTTTTGGTGACTGCGTTAGTGCTTGGAAAATTTTGTTGGTAACTGTTTCAGTACTTGAAATTTTCGATTTCTTGATGCTAAGACTTTATGGGAAGTTGGTTGGGTATTTTAAGGAGTAATTTGGGTTTTAGTTTTGAAGGTAATTATTTGTTTTTCCTTTTTTTCACTTGTTCCAGGTTTTATCATCTCGGCTTGGGAGGAAGCCTGATGATATTATTAAGCTCGATGCAAATGAAAACCCTTATGGGCCACCGCCAGAGGCAAGCTCCTGATCCTTTTTTGGATTTCTATAACTTTTTCCTTATAATTCTTGATTCGGTGATTGAAATAAATGGAAGTGTACGTCAATTTTTTCAGGTCTTACAATTTCGCCTTTGTCATTAACTTATGCAAATATGAACTAAGTTTTGGCTTTTGATATTGCAATGCTTTATCTTTTGCATCAGTTGTTAGAAAAAGGAAAAGAATAAGTCCTGCTTCAATATGATATGAAACAAGTAGCTAATTGAATTTTCACGGATAGTATGTATTGTGAAAATTAGATTCTATGATTGTTTTCATGATATGCACTCGTTATAGATTCTTGCTTTGTTTTTGTTCATAAATACTTTGCCAAAAAAATGTTAAAGTCTTTGCACCAGACTGCTTGTAGGTGGCAGAAGCTTTAGGCACAATGAAATTTCCTTATATATATCCTGATCCTGAGAGCCGGCGTTTGCGCTCTGCCCTTGCTGCTGACTCGGGACTCGATTCATCTTATATTCTTGCTGGATGTGGTGCTGATGAGCTAATTGATCTAATTATGAGGTCAGGGATTGCAAATTATTAATCACCCAACTATATATATTATTTCTGTTATCAGTTTTCCCATAATTTCAATTTATTCATTAGTAATAGCAGAGTGATTGCATTTCTGATGGGATTACCACATGGAGTTGCGGTCATGATTGTGTGAGCTTTATGTGATTGATTTTTATTTGGAAATATGTCGTGGGGTTTGTCCCTTGTGTGTTGTTTGAGCTTGTGCAGATGTGTGCTTGATCCTGGCGACAAAATTGTCGATTGTCCCCCGACATTCACCATGTATGAATTCGATGCTGCTGTTAATGGGGCTCTTGTCCTAAAGGGTATTTTTCACTTACCCCAAAACAGGATCTTTTTATGCAAGTTTCTTATTCTACAAAAACTGCCTGTAGCTTTCCCTTATTCCGCTTTTACACTTAGAGCTTACATATTTTCTCTCCTTATAAATATGCAATGTCCAATCAATAACGCCTCTACTCACAAGCAAACTGATATATAAACATATTACAGTTCCAAGGAAGCAGGATTTTAGCCTGAATGTCTCACATATTATTGAAGTTGTGAAGCTTGAAAAACCAAAGTGTATATTCCTAACTTCTCCAAACAATCCAGATGGCAGGTGCATACCCCTGAATTATTGACCTTTTTTTCCTTTTTATTTTACTGCATTCTGCAAATTTAATTTCTAGGTTGTTAAAAGGTTTTAGTTGTAATATGTGCCTGTTGTTGTATTAAAATTTTGCTGCTAAGCAGCATAATCAATGACGAGGATATACTCCAGATTCTTGCTCTCCCTATATTGGTGGTATTGGATGAAGCATACATTGAGTTTGCTGGATTAGAGTCCAGGATGTCATGGGTGAAGAAGCATGAGAATTTGATTGTCCTCCGGACATTTAGCAAAAGAGCGGGTAAGTTAAAATTCTTGACCTTTTTTAATTTTCTGCTTTTGGAAAAAAAAATTTATGTTTTACTTGGATGTCATGTCTCCATGTTTCCTGGTCCTCATCATTTATCCTCTGTAAACACCCACATAATTATTGTTAGAGTGGACTCTGATAAGGTACTCTGTATCTGTAGTGTTGTCTTATGGTTCTTTTCATACTCTAAACTCTCTCTTCATGTGTACACTTTTGGTTGCTTCGGATCTTCACACAAAAGTTGGAAAAAGAAGAAAGCTATACATTAGAAAAACCTGAAAACAAATGCTTAATGGTTTACTTATTATGCATAAACTACATTCAAGCTATATAAGAAAGAATACTAGTTTTGTGGTGTACTGTTATTATTATCCTTAACCAGTGTCAAAAAAGTCTCCATTTAAGAATGATCAAAAGTGGTAAGAAGGGCATATCATCTTCAATATTTGTGAAGGATACGAAACTTTTGTCTTGATTGTTAAAGTTACCATTTCCTCTTTTCAGGTGGGTACCAGGCACACATTTTATGGCTATAGGATCACTACCTTTTACAGTAGGGAAAATATATTAATATGCGAATAAAAATGGAATATCCAGGAGAGTTCAACACAAGACAGATGAAGTAGTTTGAATAATGAAGTCAAGTGGTAAGAGATCAGTTACCATAAAATCTTCTATCCTTACATAAATGTGCAAGAGTTAATAAATAAAATGCCTTGTATATATCTAAGTTTCTTCAAAAAGAAAACAATTGAGAGTAAGTTAAAGGAATTTCACCTAGAAGCAAATGGTAAAAGCAATTACTGCAACTTTATTTTTATTTTAATATTGTTATTGTGCTAATTGGCCACTTTTTTTGGGTTAATATTATGTCTATATATGGGAATTTATGCTGCTGGAATGAAAGTTAATATTAAAATGTTGGATTAGCACTTATCAGAGCTGGAGTTTACATTGTTTATATCCGTATTGGTCCAACCAATAAGTAGCAAGTCAGTGATGTCACTAAGTTTCCGAGATATCTTACGATATTGCATTGACTTCTGCTTATTATTGCAAAGCAGGTTTAGCTGGACTACGTGTGGGCTATGGAGCATTTCCGCTTAGCATAATTGAGTACCTATGGCGAGCAAAACAACCATATAATGTTTCTGTGGCTGCAGAAGTTTCTGCTTGTGCAGCATTGCAGAACCCATCTTACTTAGAGGTGTTCTGATAGTATTTTTATTTATTATATATGCATGTATTATTACACTTTATTGTTCGTATTTATCACATCTAATGATTCATTGTCACTTGGCGCTGTATTTCATCATGTCCTTGCAATATTTGCAGAAGGTGAAGGATGCACTGGTGAATGAAAGGGAGAGGCTGTATAAACTTCTACTTGAAGTGCCATATCTAAAGCCATATCCAAGCTATTCTAATTTTATTCTCTGTGAAGTTACTTCTGGTAGAGATGCTAAACAACTTAAGGTAACTGATTGTGAGCTTTTAAGGACCATTCCATTTTGTTACATGATTCAAAACACACTTTTAGCGTTCTTTCTTGCATGTATCATCTCAATATGTTATTTGCCTTCTTGCTCTGCTTTGTTTAGACCTTTTCCGGCTTTCAATTTTTAACAAATTTCTCTTATTTTCATATAACTCCTTGTATTGTATCTTTCAAGAAAAACACTTGTTTCACAATAAAATTTCTACAGCTTATTAGGCCTTCAATTAACAATTTCAAAAAAAAAAAAACTTATTAGGTCTTCGTCTTCTTATATATATTGGACTCATGGTTGTTTGTGTACATTTATTTATGCACGGTATTACCACCTGTTTATGGTATGTTTGGATAGCATATACATGTCATTATGTTTAGCTCTATATGCGCTGCCCAGTCTATTTGGCTTTTGGTGCTGGGCCTATTGCCACGGAAAATATCCATGCTTGCATATGGGGACAAAACTATAAAAAATTGTTTTTCCCCAATCTGAACTGGGGTGGCTTGGTGCAGCGACCTATATGCAACATCTGAACTGGCCCTAGATTTATGAAACACAAGATCATTTACATTAACTGGGCTTAAATATAACTGATTTTTAATTTGAGACTCTTAACAGGCACATAACCCTGGATCTTAGTTGCCACCCTGGATTTCAATGTAAGTTTCAGGATGGCTTCTCTATGTTGAGGTGGAATAACCCCCCTGTTATGTGTTCCAGATTGAGAAGTTGGAGTGAGAAATTTTGTCATTCAGGTTTATTTATTCACCTGGAGTTTCTGTAGACCAAGAAATTTACAATAGGGAGCTGTGACCCACTTGGCACTCATCCAGTCTAGAACACAAGAAGTGTTAGTCAGATGGGCAGGGTTAAGTGACAGAGGAGCACCATGGCAATAAGAATGTGATAATAGGCGGTAAGATTCAAAGAAACAGATTGTTGGTGATGCGATTGTGCGTGGTTTATAAATTTCACCAATTGGAAATGCATGAGTCATATTTAGAGATGGGGGTCATAGGCATGGTGGCTGACTCCTATAGAAATGGATATTTTTTGAAGATGTTCGAAATGGATATTTTTCGAAGATGATCTCTTGTGATTATACTCTTATGCCTGTGTTACTCCTTGTTATTACTGTTTGTGGATAGAAGCTTCATGAGATTGACATGAAGCATGCATTTGTTAATCATCTGAGGATATATATATATATATATATATATAACGCACTTTTAGTTAAGGAATCTATATTTGGCCTCAATAGAGTCACAAAGGCTTGATTTGAGGGGTTCTATGCCCATGCAAGTCACAAGGGGTGTTGGTGCTAACCCATCTTCCTTTAGTAGATGATTTGGTGGTCAGACACTCGTATACTTCAGTATATAGTGATATCATTATCAATATTAATGACACTCTTACCATATTGTGCATTATGGATGCTTCTTTTTTCTTCTTTTTTGGATGAGCATTGGGGATGCTTCATGGCATTGACAGTTTGAAATGAGAGATAGAGTCATACAGGATATATCATACTATCTAATACTCGAGATTTCTAGATCATCACATGGGATCACAGTTTTACAACAAAAATACATGTGAGATTTTATTTATCAGTCCCATCTAACCTATTCTTGGGAGAGACACCTCATCGGTTGAATGTAAAGCCCTCAAGAAGTGATAGTGAGCTTCTTCTCTTACTTTCTTGGCAATTGTGCGCCTCTTACTTTCTCGTCTTTTTTTTCCCCGTTTTTTTGGGGACAGGTAACTCTGTGTAATAGTGAGAAGAACTTGTACAGTTGACAGTGCATATGAGCATAAAAAAAATGGGAACAAAAAGCTAGCATAATGCTAGGTTGTACAAAACTCAAACTGAGAAATGGTTTATGGAGGAGAGGGTGAAGTGTGGTTCACAGTATGGGATGTGCGAGCCATCCCTACTTTTGCTAGGCGGTCGACCACCTTGTTGGCCTCTTTCCAGGTCTTTCTGAATGAGACTGTGAGGCCTTCGAACAACTGAAACACTTGGTCAGACAGACTCTCTAATCTCCAAGGTCAAGTAGAGGACTTGTTGGCCCATGAGTTTGCAATTTGGAAGTCCTCTCCAGTAAAGAGTAGAGAGCCCCAACTTCTATCAAAGATTTGCAAGCCAACCAGGATTTCATGGGATTAGGCGCCAGATATTTTGGAGTTAAAATCTGGCCTGGAGTAGGTAGTTAAGATCTCTCCTGATTGTGATCTGAAAACCCCCTGGATGCTTGAAGGGCCAAGGTTCCTGAGGGAATTCCAACTGAAACTTAAATTAATGGCTTCTAGTTCAGGTTGAAGCCACTGTGATGATATTGGGATTGAGAAGGGGATAGATTGAAGGATTTTTTACCTTTGGGCGGCCAAGTTGATTGCTGAGAGACACTTGAATCTTTATGCGGAAGAGACCATGAAATGATGGTTGTCTTGATACACTCAGGGAGTATCTGGTATTTGGACTGTTTACCCTTGCAAATTTTAGAGTTGCTCTCCAACCAAATGCAGTAAATGATGGCTAAAATGGTAAAGCACCATAGAATGAGGCCCGAGGCTGGTAGAGGCAATGAGAAGTAGTGCTTTTAGCATGCACTCAGCTGTGTGTGGCGCAGCCCATGAGAGGTTGAATAGCTTGAGGAACACTGACCAGAAAGTGGAGGCCAGGGCTCAGTAAATAAAAAGTGGGTGATGGACTCTTCTTGTGTATTGCAAATGATGCATTTGTTACCCATTGAACGCCCCTACTTTTAAGGAGATCAATGTTTAGAACTTCTTCTAGAACGGTGAACCACTTAAACATTTGGGCATTGGTGAAGCAAGCCTTGTGTGCGTGCTTGGGGTGACTTTCTTGGGTAAGAACTCGATCGGAAGAGGCTACCTTGAATGAGTTTTGGCATTTGCGCACCAAATGACCTTGTCACCTCGCCTAGGTATGAACATGAGCTCTAACATCTTTGTCTAGGACAAGATATCCTCAGTCTCCCCATTGTTTAGGACACAAGACAAGGGTCCAAGCACATGCAAGTGGCCTCTTATTAATCCAAGTATCCAACCACATGCAACTGCTGTCTCCTTTTTGAACATCCATACTGGGCATTGCACATACCATTTTTTTGTGATGATTCAGTTTGTGTATCATGTAACTCTCATTTGACAATGCTGAGCCATATCATTAGTCCAAGTCTTACTTCCCTCATTCTCTTATTAGCATCAAATCTGCATATGGCAACCTATGCAAGTTCTAGCTAGGTTGGTTATCTGGATACAAGTAGATCCACTACCGGTACTACCTTTGTTTGAAGATACATCTGGGCATGGGAAACTTAATAGGACACGTCCAGTTTAGAAGCTTGGTATACAACCTTGTTAGAATCTCCTTGCTAGATCATACAGTTGTGGGCCTTGTTTGCAAATTTGCGAGTTTAGTTTACTAGATGTACCTCTTAGTAGTAATATCAAGGTTATCAGAATAGCTACTAACTCCATTCTTCATGCCGTGCCTAAGCATGAGGTAAGGACAATTCACCAGCAAATTCATCTGACTTCTTCTCTTCCTATTACTCAAACCATCAGTCATAATAGAAACTCCATATTGAGCCCATGCATCCTTCTGAACTTCAACAACATCCTTCGTGACACACCGCTTTTTTCAAAAGAGGCTCTAAAAGCTCATATGGGATTGGGGGTTTCATCCCAAGCCCACATTGCCTAATTGCCTCTACCTAGGCGTAGAAGCTGCCTGCTTAGACGAGCGGTATTGAAAAGAATGCTCGCCTCATAAAACCATGTAGCAATAAAAAAAGCAACTCTATCTCACTGTTCCTTCTTGATTCTATTTTCAATGGTGGTTTGCTTCTTTGTTTTCTCTCCTGCAGCTTCAAGGTCAAGCCGGGGCAAACAACAATCCATAGGGCTTCTAACCTGAGGCTTCTTAGGCACCGAACTCCCAGAAGCAATGACAACTCTCTTTTCCTTCCCCTAACTAGTGGATTGTTCTACCTCTTGACATTCCTTCCCATCCTCATCACTGTCACCAGCATCATAACTGACCCGAACCCCAGACCTAATCCTTGCTATGGAGGCATGTCTCTGAATTTTTCATTTTTACAAGACTCGGAAAATTGTTTATTTCTTCTTTAACAACATCAGGAGTTTTTGTTACAAGGGCAACATCCCCCTTGATACCGCCAAGATGTTTCTTGAACCAGTTCATACCCCCTTTTGTATCCTTTTCACAAAACTTGGATCTTATGCAATTTTTATCCAAAGGATTTGGGTTGTAGCCATTTTCCAACCTGGATCACCACTTCAATTAGATCCCGAAGAAGACATTTCAAAATAATACAACTTATACAAGCAATAAAAAAAAAAGTCACTTACTTTGATTGCTTGATCTCCAAACTTCCACCTCTAAGATATTTCTAAGGACTCAAAATCTTCTAAAAAACCCTCTAATAGATTTGTAAAACATCCAAAATTAAATCTAATGTCAATGAGTGATGTTTTGATCAATTTCTCATAACTTTGAGAAACTCTTTGATCCTATAGAAATCACCAAAAACTAGTTTTTTGGGGTTTTTCTCTCTCTAAAATGGGCTTTAATAGGTTTTAAGTTTCAAATGAACCTAAAACCCACAATTTTGGCCCCTTATTATAAAAAAAAAATCACACAAAATGCCCCTGCCAAGTGGCTTTTCCGCCTATGGGCGGGCGGCTCCCCAGGACTGGGAGGTGGGCACCTGCCTAGGTGGTAGCGTATTGTTGGAGTGACCAATCAACCGCCAGAGCGATGTGGCTCCAGAAGGTGTATTGCCAGAGCACGTCTTTGTACTGTCGGAGCGCTTGTCTTTATTGCCGGAGCGACCTATTCAACCGTCGGAGCATTGTGGCTCCAAAAAGTGTACTGCCGAAGCGAGTCCTTGCATTGTTGGAGCGTGTGTCCTCATTGCAAGAGTGACCTATGCAACCGTCGGAGCGCTTTGGCTTCAGAAGGTGTACTGTCGGAGCGAGTCCTTGCATTGCCAGAGCGCGTGTCCTCATTGCCGGAGCGTTTAAATGGACTGCAAGAGCGCATAGGGAGAGAGTCTGCTGGCGTGTAGGGATTTTCGCCTTTTTTTGGTGCCTAGGCCAGAGCAATGCGCCCAAGCCTTTTGGACCACTAGGCGGCCGCCCAGGCATTGGGCAATCCGCTTTTGGAAACACTGATGCTATGTGTACATAAGTTTTACAATTGTCATTGTTTATGTTGTATGTTACACCAAGGACTATTATAGTCATTATTCCTTCAAAACAAACATATTGGTAGTCCTTATTTCATATCATAACACTAACTCTACTATGGCCGGTTTGAAGCCAGTCATGCCGGTCCCAATCCCCGGAGGAGGGTTTTGATTGGTAGGCGGCTAGCATAAAACTTTGCCTCATCTTTTTATAAATCCTAAACCTATATTATATGCTCATGTTAGGGCATTCCCTGTCTAACTGAGCATATGGCCCTTGATAGAGCAGAATGGTGGAATAAGATTCATGTAGCCGACCCCAAATAGTTGGGATATGGCTTAGATGATGATGGTTTCATCTCATAAACCAAGGTAATTCACCCAATATTTCATGACAATCAGTTACTCTCGTAATACTTGAAATGCCAGTACTGGTAGACTTGAATTTCTCCTTAACCTACTCACTTAATGGAAGAAAGAAGTAACTTGGTTTCCTTCTGTTGAAAATATACTTCTAATGTTCAACGTAGTACCATTTTGTTGTATCTAGACCTTTATTCATAATATGCTTGTATAGCATTTTTTGATCTACCCACCATTTTTTGTCGTTGTGGGTTATTTGTATAGTGCACCCGTTCTAAGGGATGCCTAATCTTTTGTACTTTGTTTATACCCTCTCAGTACAAACATTAATAGTTTCCAAAAAAGAAGGAAACATGTCTTCTACTCGAGGAGATACTGAAGCTTAACCTTTTATTCAATTATTCATTTTTTGCTCTTCTTAACTCATTTTCTCTCCCCAACCTTTACACTCTGGGGGCTTCATGAATTCTAGGTAACTGGAAATTGTGAGTTCTTGCAATATTGGGTCTCACCTGACCCTTTTTGTTGCATCTTTCTGACCCAACTCACACGTGCATGCATGCCCTGTGGCTCATCAAATCTGTCTTTCACAGTTGCGCCACTGAGAACCTTTTAAAGTTGTGCGTCACTCTCATCTCTTCATACTTTACCCCTATGAAATGTCATGCAAAACGTGTTCTTCCCTACCCTTACCCTGTTTCCTCTATGATGTGTTTTGAACTGTTTAAAAATGAATCTTTTCTCCTAAAGATGATTTCTGTATTTCTTTTTTTTGCCTTGGTGATGTGTATTTAATGCAGTTGAAAATATGGAAATGTGCATGCTTTTTAAAGAGCTTTGTGGCTAGTTAAAAGGTCTGTGAATGAGGTATTGGCTTCGGAGTCAATCCTTCAGTTATATACATACTGGAGATAGAGAAGTGGGTTTACCTCTATTTCTCTTGAGATCTTGTAAAGATGTTAGCTTCCACATCTATACTATCAGATGCATGTTTGGAGTTTGATTAGTATTGCTTTTTTAAATGTTGAAGCTTGTTTATTGTTCATTTCCTTTTTCAGGAAGAGCTTGCTCAAATGGGTGTTATGATTCGTCACTACAACAATCAAGAAATGAAGGGCTATGTTCGGGTATCCGTTGGTAAGCCTGAACATACTGATGCTTTAATGAAGTGTCTCAAGATCATGTCTCAGTAAGCTTCCCTTTTTGAGCCACCCAACGTCTGAGCCTTGCAATGCAATGGCATTTTGTGCAATCCAGGACACTGGATTTCACTAATAGCAGGGCAAAAATAATATTTATTGGCAGCCTTCAATATTTTTGTTTATTTAAGCTGTCTACACTGTGGAGGACTTTCGAGCAGTCCTTTTCCCCACTAATTTTCTGTTTTTCATGATTTGAGATACAAATACATGTCAGCCCAAATGGACATCAACTGGGATGTCATCTGTAGGATGATATTAATGTCGATCAGATTGTTGCGACATGGACAGCACTCTCGAAAATGAGAATCTTGTTTCTGACTCCACAATGCCTAGGCTAAACGCTGTGAATTGCCTTTTCTTTTCCACTTCATGTTATGCAATCTTGTTTTCTTATTACATGTTCTACTGTATGGAGGGGAGGCCAAAATGCGTTTGAATTTCAGTACATTCGCCTTCTAATAAGTCTTATTTGTTGGGCATGGTGCATCTAGTTGCATTTGTTGGAAAGATAATGTTCATCATGAACTGCCCGAAAGGTCTAATTTGTTTTTGCTTGGAAGTAGAGCTGCACAAAGAGCAAGTAGAGTTAGGTGTTTGCACTAAAATTACTTAGTTCTTTTAGTTCACCAAATATTGATTATGTTGTGCAGTTAGGACTCAGGTTATGACCTGTTTGGCCACGATGTTGAGGATTTCAGCTCCACCTTGCTGATAAACAAATCCTACAGCTGACTTCTAATAAAGAAAAAAGAGCAGAAACTTTAGCAAATCACACCTAAATCAAACTCTTAATCTCACCATTTTTGTGATCTGATAAAAATTTAGAACCCGAAGTGATGTGTACCAATGCATCGGTTGGGCAATTGCCATTGTTCTTCTATTGCAGTATCGCTTGGTTAAGTTGTCAGGATTTGAACCCTGTAGTTTTAATTATTTTTTAACTGTAACTTGAGACATTGGTGGGAATAGAATTCGAGACCTCTTCCTGGGTTATTGGACGTAGTACCGATGTGACCTCGACCCATTTCAAATTTGAACCCATTATTTGAAGGTATCAACTATTATTAGTTCTATCTACCACAAAGCCTTAAAACTGTTGTTAGGAACAGAATATGCTTAGAATGGTGTTTAATAGGAAGTGATTGCTTTTTCACCCTGCAGTTGACTCTACAATTAAGGTTAAAAGGAGGGGAAAGCTTTGCATGTAATCCCAAATATATATAATTTTTGTGACCACTAATCTCAGTGGTGAGATCCGAGTAGATGGCTAGTCACAATGTCACAAGCGGGCTCTTGAGCTTCAGATCTTTATTTGATGGCTCAGGGTGTTTTATTTTTAATTTTGACTTTACTAACCATCGAATTTTTGAAGTGTGATATCGAAGCGATAAAAAACTCAAAAATTCATATTTTTTTCTTCTAGACATAATTATTTACTAATTTTTAGGCAGTTTCCAAAATTTGGATTAAAAAACAAAAACTTCCCAAATAAGTCATTTTGCCCAAGAGAGTTAGTGTGCAATAAGTGGGAGCAAAGTAAACGTGCTCTTATCTATTTATTTGCATACTATTTTTATGGGTTTTTTATCAAACACCGAAACCATTATAAAACAAAAAAAAAAAAAATACCGTCTTTGTTCTATTGTGTTACACTTAGCGACCGAATCCATTATAAAACAAAAATAAATAAAAAATAAAAAATAATACCGTCTTTGTTCTATTGTGTTATACTTAAGGGACTTTTGAAACCTGTAAATCTAAAAAGATTAGGAGAGATTTTCACAAAAATTAAGAAATCTATCAGGCACAAGGTGAAAAATCTATTACTCGGGTAATGATTTTCGCTACCCAAAAATCCCGTGATTCACCTCTTAATAAACCAAGGTTCAATAAAAAAAAATGCGGGCTACCCAAAATCCCGTGATTCTAAACTTAATAAACCAAAAAAAAAAAAAAATTCTATAAAAAAAAATATTCACCTCCTAATAAACCACAAAAAAAAATGCGGTAAAATCTTCCGGACTAATCAATGATTTTTGTTCCCAAAAATCCCGTGATTCACCTCATAATAAACCACAACAAATAGTGGGAAATCTTTCGGACCAGCCAATGATTTTTGTTGCCCAAAAATACCTTGATTCACCTCATAATAAACCATGAGAAACAATAAAAAAATAAAATACGCTAGGCCTATCTTCTGCAACTAATAGCTCCTTTGCAAATCGAATGGCACATATATTTAAACCTGCTGCTGAAATTTAAACCTCCTTTGCAACTGATAGCTCTTTTGCAAATCTAGCTACTTTGCAAATCGAATGGTACAGCTGCTTATATTTAAACCTCTGCAGCCACAGTTATAGCTACAGACATTTAAACCTCTGCGGCTGATATTTAAACCTCCTTTGCAAATCTAGTTCCTTTGCAAATCGAATGGTACAACGGTTGATATCTATTAGTTACAAATCGAATGGTACAACGGTTGATATCTATTAGTTACAAATCGAATAGTACAGCGGTTAATATTTAAACCTATGCAGCCACAGTTGTAGTTATTGTTTATTTTCAGGTATCCAAGATTTATTACAGTTGTAGCTATTGTTTATTTTCGGATATCTAAGATTTATTTTTTGGGTTATGTCACACGCTGTTCGAAAAAAATAAACGGATTTAGGTTTATGTTAAAATGACTCTGTTTATTTTTTTGCTTCTGTTTATTTTTTTGCCTTTATTTTTTCTTTTTTGCTGCTATTGTTTGGTGATAAATTCAAAATATTTGACTTCACTCAAATAGAATCATCAAATCAGTGTACTTGTTTTTTTAGAACTTTTTTTAAATTAATTTATCTCTTCAACCCCCTCCAATACCCAAACATAATTTCTCCTCCAATACATCTCATTTAGTCATTTTTTTAGAACTTTTTTTAAATTAATTTACCTCTTCAATCCCCTCTAATACCCAAACATAATTTCTCCTTTAATACATCTCATTTAGTCATAAAACCTTCTAGGTTACTAAGTCAAATTTCTCCAAACTTTTTTTTTTCTTTTGAATTTTCCCATGGAAGTTTTTTGGAGAGATGATCCAAAGGCTTCAGCACAAAAAAAGAAAACATAAAAAATATGATGGCTTAAAGGTGTGGCTAATTCTTATGCCTGATGCAATTATAAAGTTTAAGCTACATACTAATAGAGATTGTACGCTCAACCATGTTTTGGGTATAAAACCAAAAAAAAAAAAATATTTGGTAATGCATTTCCGATATTTCTTCTGGACATAGCCAAACAGTGTATTTTACAGGTTGCATCTAAATACTACCCAAACGGTGATAGTCCATTTGGATGTAATGTATTGTGCAGTAATGTATTACGCAAGTAATATATTTCACAGACAATATATTTTTAGGTATTCAAACAGCCCCTTAAGGTAGTGACAAAAAAATTCGCTAAGTTGACAAGAAGTAGCCAAAGTTGACTCAGATCTGTTGGGGTACCAAGTTGGTTCTAGCCAAAGGCCCAAGCGAGTTGTCTAGGATTGTGGTGGTTGTATCCCCACACCCCGTTACCACATGGTTGTATCAACTCCTACCGCTGACACCCCCAATTAACCCTTCAAAATGTAACTCTCCAATCTATTGAAAAAAACGGGCACAGGTTTGACTTCCACACTAAATTACCCAAAAAAAAAAAAAAATGATGTAAAAAACTAGGTAAAAAGGTATTCTATTATTTATTTATTTTCCTTAAATCAATAATGCATATTTGACCCTCATTTTTGTGGATATAATATAAGATCAGTCACTCATAGCCCCCAAAATCCATTATTTTGAACGAAATTTGTATTTGGGGAAGATTTGTTTTTAAAATCTCATCAGTTTTTAGCCCAACATCTAATCCACATTTTTTGTGATCTCTAATCATTTCCCAAACAATTCATCTGCAGTTTGATTCAAAGTGTTGGTACTGGAGCCCTTTAACACACCCGCATAACAATTTGTTTTATTAAAAGCAATAGAGAAGAAATAGAGAGTCAAAATTTTGAGGGTTTTTTAACGTGAAATAAGACAAATTCAATTTCTCTCATTTTCACCAAATTTATTCAAATTTGTCACAAAATGTTCCTAACACCTGGATCTAAAAAACCCTAACAAATTTTTAAATTAAAACAAAACAATATCTATGAACAAATTTTTTATCTTTTCAATCTTTCCACCATTTTCTTATTAAAGTGTTTTTTATTTATTTTTACTTGATTTTGATTTATAGCTTTTATTATATGAAATCTAACATTTGGTTTTTGATATTTGATTTTATTTTTATTTTTTATTTTTTTGACATTTTTCGCTAGTTAGTTTCAAAAAATTTTGATTGAGCCGGTTGAACCGACTTAGGAAGCTGCAAGCTGCGAGTTCGACTCAGACGGTGGGCAACTAGTTCGACCCAGTCATCCTTCTTTTAAACCATTGCTTAAATCCCATGTTACATATAAATAAATACACGTGTCTATTTGGGACAAAGATGTGAGTGTCAGAAATGTGAATGCAAAATAAAAGCGACACGTGAACACGTCACTGCGACTCTTCCAACAAAAGGGGTACGGTATCCATATCGCGGAAGGAGATTCTCTTAATGTTATCAAGTGGTGTAACAAGGAGTAGCGGATCCCTTGGGATTTGAGAACTTTTTGGTTACAAATTGTGCAAGTCTTTGACTTGATACTTTCTTTTCATCGTGTCTATAGGGAAGCAAATATAGAGGCTGATTCTTATGATAAATATGGTTTTCCTTATCTTCGTTTTCTATTATTGATAATGTAATTATCTCGCTTTAAGCACATTTCATCAATAAATTTAATGAGATTGGTCAAAAAAAAAAAGATATGGACATGCCAAGTTAGTACTCAATAGAATATATATGCGTCTATAATACGCATATCTATATGGAAAAGTTTATAATGAGACTATTTACCTTTGGTAATCTTGACCATTGGATGTGAAATTGGGTGGCTGCATTTATTTCATTGGCCAAGTTCATAGTTCAAAAGAAAGTTTTTCGAACTTTATGATATATCCAAGCTATCAGATTTCCTATCGGATGGTTGTCGGTAATTTTGACCTCCCTGTACCAAAAGTAAATGGTCAC